TCAAAATTAAAAATTTTTGTGCTGCAAATAATACCATCAAGAAAGGGAAAAGATATCCCACAGAATGAGAGAGACTATCTGCAAATCATTTATCTAATAAGTGATGTGTATATAGGATAAAAAATTCTTACAATACCCTAATAAAAAGAGTAAGAACTCAATTAAAAATTGAAAAAGGAGGGGCAACTTGGTGGCTCAGTTGGTTGAGGGTCTGCCTTTGGCTTGGGTCATCATCCCAGGGTCCTGGGATCGAGGCCCACATCAGGCTCCCTGCTGGGAGGGGTGTCTACTTCTCCCTCTCCTTCTGCCCCTCCCCCTGCTTGTTCTCTCTCTCAAATAAATGAATAAAATCTTTTTAAAAAAATTGAAAAATGATCTGATATAGACATTTCTCCAAAGAAGATAAGCAAATGTTCAATAAGCACATACAAAGGTCCTCAATATCACTGGTCATTAGAAAAATGCAAATCAAAACCACAGTGAGATTCTATCTCACATGCACTAAGATGGCTACAATAAAAAAGATCATAATAAGGGTTGGCAAGGATGTGGGAAAACTGGAATCCTCATACACTGCTGGTGGGAATGTAAAATCATGCAGACCCTTGGGAAAAAAAGCTAACAAGTTATTCAAAATGTTAAAAATAGAGTTACCACATAATTCAACAATTCCACTTTCAGGTATATACCCAAGAGAAATGAAAACATATGTATGTAGAAAATCTGTCCACCAATGTTCAAAACATTATCATTCATAATAGCCAAAAAGTGGAAAAAACCTGAATTTCCATCGATGGTCTGATGAATGGTCAAAGAAAATGTGAACTATTCAAGCCAAAGCAATCTTGAAAAATAAAAATAAAACTGGAGTTATCAACAATTCCAGACTTGTTATATTACAAAGCTGTAGTAATCAAAACAATATGTTACTGGCACAAAAATAGACACATAGATCAATAGAACAGAATAGAAAACCCAGAAATAAACTCACAATTATATGGTCAATTAATCTTCAACAAAGCAGGAAAGAATATGCAATGAGGAAAAGACAGTCTCTTCAACAAATGTTGGGAAAACTGGACAGCTACATGCAAGGAATGAAACCACTTTCTTATACCATGCACAAAAATAAACTCAAAATGGAATAAAGACCTAAATGTGAGACTTGAAACCATAAATATCCTAGAAGAGAGCACAGGCAGTAACCTCTCTGGCACTGATAGGAACTTTTTCTAGATAGGTCCTCTGAGGCAAGGGGCACAAAAGCAAAAATAAACAATTGGGACTACATCAAAATAAAAAGCTTCTGCACAGCAAAGGGAACAATCAACAAAATTAAAAGGCAACCTGTGGAATGGGAGAAGATATTTGCAAATGACATATCCGACAAAGAGTTAGTATCCAAAATATATAAAGAATGTATCAAACTCAACATCCAAAAAACAAATAATCCAATTTAAAAATGGGCAGAAGACAAGAACAGACATTTCTCCAAAGAAGACATACAGATGGCCAACAGATACATGAAAGGATGCTCATCATCACTTACCATCAGGGAAATGCAAATCAAAACCACAATGAGATATCACCTCACACCTGTCAGAATGGCTAAAATTAACAACACAGGAAGCAACAGGTGTTGGCGAGGATGTGGAGAAACAGGAACCCTCTTGCACTGTTGGTGGGAATACAAACTGGTGCAGCCACTGTGGAAAACAGTATGGAGGGTCTTCAAAAAGTTAAAAATAGAAATACCTTTAATCCAGCAATCACACTACCAGGTATTTACCCAAAGAATACAAGAATCAAAGGGATACATGCACCCCTACGTTTATAGCAGCATTATTTACAGTAGCCAAGATGACGGAAGCAACACAGGTGTCCATCAGACGATGAATAGATAAAGAATAGTGGTATATCTACACAATGGAATATTACTCAGCCATAAAAAATAACGAAATCTTGCCATTTGCAACAGCATGGATGGAGCTAGAGATACTATGCTAAGTGAAGTAAGTCAGAGAAAGACAAATACCATATGATTTCACTCATATGTGAAATTTAAGGAACAAAACAAATGAGCAAAGGAAGAGTGAGAAAGAGAGAGGCAAACCAAGAAAGAGACCCTTAACTATAGAGAACAAAGTGATGGTTACCAGAGGGAAGGTAGGTGGGGGGATGGATGAAATAGGTGATGGGGATTAAGGTGTGCACTTGTGATGAGCACAGGATGATGTATGGAATTGTTAAATCACTATATTGTACACCTAAAGCTAGTGTAATACTACGTGTTCACCGTACTGGAATTAAAAACTTAAAAAAAATTTTTTAATTTAAAAAAAAAAGGAAAATGTGGTCTATTCATATAATGGAATATTATTCAGCCATAAAAAGGAATGACACATTCATACATGTTACAACGTGAATGAACCTCAAAAACATTGTGCTAAGTGAAAGAAGCCAGTCACAGAAGACCACATATTGTGTGATCCCATTTACATGAAATGTCCAGAATAGGTATATTTATAGAAACAGAAAGCAGATTACTGGTTGCCTAGAGTTGTGATAGAGGGAAGTGACTGGTGACTGCTAATGGGTTCAAGCTGTCTTTTTAGGATGGCAAAAATGTTTTCAAACTGGTTATGGCAATGGTTGCACAACTCTGTAAATATACTATCAGTGAATTGTATATTTTAAATTGGTCAACTTTATGGTATGTGAATTATGTCTCAACAAAACTGTTAAAATAAATTAATTTGAGATTAACTTACTAATATAATACAATATAATATAAACTTGCTGTGGAGACATTTTTCTAACAAAGATGAAAATCCAAAAGATATAATGAAATTATATATATAAATGTGATTTCATAGAACTAAAGCAAAATGAAGACACCAACAAAACATATGCAATGTAACTGTAAAAATCCTCTGTCCCTCATCTGCAAAGAACTCCTAAAGATTGATCAGAAAATTACAAACAACCCAATATAAAATGGGGGAATAATATAAATAGGAAATTCCAAGAAGAGAAAAATGCAATGTCCAAAAACATAAGATGGGCAAACTCAGCTATCTAAAAAGTGCTAATTAAAACAATGAGATTTACTGTTTTGATCCATCAGCTTGGCAAAAATTAAGAAGTGTGATAATATCTAAGACTAATGAGGATGTGGAAAAATTGGTATGTTGTTTTTCAGATTGTTAATTGTTAAAACTCTTTTGGAGTATCTAGCAAAATTTTAAACCATAAACCCATAAATTCCACATTTTGAATTTTATGTAAAAAAAAGCACTAAATCTTATGGCTGTATGTATGCATGTGTGTATGTACGTATGTGTGTATGTATGCATGCGTGTGTATGCACGTGTATGTATGCATGCGTGCATATGTGTATGTGTGCATGTGTGTACATATCCATGTGTACGTATGCATGAGTGCATGCGTGTATGTACGTATGTGTGCATGTATCCATGTGTGTATGTAGGCATGCGTGTATGTACATATGTGTGCATGTGTGTATGTATGCATGTGTACGTATGTATGTATGCATGCGTGCGTGCATGTGCGTGTGTACGTGTGTATGTATGCATGTGTGTGTATGCATGTGTGCATGTATGTACATATGCGTATGTGTGCATGCACGTGTGTGTACGTGTATGTATGCATGTGTGTATGTATGCACGTGTGCATGCATGTGTGTACATATGTGTGTATGCATGCGTGCGTGTGTATGCATGCATGCATGTATGTATACACACATACACAGAAGTGTTTGTCATATATAGCTTTGCTTTTAAGTGCAAAACCCTGGAACCAATCTGGATGGCCATCAGTTGAATAAGATTTAGTCACTCCATAATTGTTATGGCACATCGACTAGAAAGATTGAGTTAGGTCTATGTGTATTAACTTGGAGTAATGTTCATGATATCATCTTTAGAGAAAAGGTCAGTTGTAGCATAGAGTGTGCTGTGTATGTTGCTGACTGCCTTTCTCCTCCCTCGGGATCTGCATTTGATGAGGGAAAGGACTTTTGTCTGTTTTGTTCATTGCCATATCGTCTGTGCCTAGAACAGTGTGTGATACATAGTAGGTGCTCAAAAATTTTTAAATTTGATGAATATAATGGTTTGTCTATTTTTGTAGGAGCAAGAAGAGGGAAGAAATGTGCACTCTAGGCTATCAATTTCAGTTGCCTCTGGGGAAAAGGATTATTAAGAAGGAGAGGGAGGGGCGCCTGGGTGGCTCAGTTGGTTAAGCGACTGCCTTCAGCTCGGGTCATGGTCCCAGAGTCCTGGGATTGAGCCCCGCATGGGGCTCCTTGTTCTGCAGGAGGCCTGCTTCTCCCTCTCCCACTCCCCCTGCTTGTGTTCCCTCTCTCGCTGTCTCTCTCTCTCTCTGTGTCAATTAAATAAATAAATAAATAAATAAATAAATAAATAAAAGAAGGAGAGGGAGAGAAGATCATTAGCATTTTCTGTATACATCTTTGTTTGGTCTCACTTGTTAACAACAAACATACTCATTTTATAATGAAAACTTCTTAAAAAGATCACGTTGAATGGAGAAAAGGAAGATAAGCTATGGATGCCAACACATGGAGAGACACTCAACTCTTGCCATTATACACTTCTGGGTAGAGAAGAGACCAAGGGGCAAGAGCACACAGGGCTGCTTGGGGGACAGGGAGGGCTGTCGGATGTGGAACTGGGTGGATGTGCGGACCATCTTTTCTTTACATTCAATTAGAGGCTGCTCGTGGACACTGATTGCTTTATCCATTTAAAGAGACATATGAATTGAAAATTGCTCCTCTTGGTTTCAAATATGAATGTATTCACCACTTGGTGTCTGGAACTAATTCTATTGTGTTTACACCAATGAGTAACCCGTAAGTAGTTGTCTTCACTCTCGTGGCCGCTCTTAGTCACTCTGGACTGTTTCTACTTGGTCACCAGTACCAGTGTTCAGAATTCTCCTTAGAGCATACACACCTTTGGTAAAGAGGCCTCGAGCACGTTGTCCTAGTTACTTGGTACTGGAAAAATCGAGGGGTCATATCACAACACAGTTTGATGTAAGCTCCTCGATTGCTGCCTTCTTCATAATAATTAGAAGCAGAAAATACAGTAACAACCTGATTAAAGAAAAAGAAGGCCAGGTTCATGTAGAGTTAGTTCTCAAAAGGTCCTTCAATAAAAGCAGAAATAGCTCAATTCCTAAAAAAGCAAAAATCAAACAAAGTTCCAAATCCATCCAAATTATCCAAGTCTGACAGGATTTTCTGTGATTCCACTGGAGAGCAACAAGGCTTTGAAATCAGTGTCCCTGGGACTACTAACTTTCAGCCACTCATCCCCACAGTGCATAGCCTTGTAATCCTGTGTACAATTTCAGTTCCGTGTCTTAGAATTCTACTTAACGCTTGGTTTTGCAAATTCTAATTTTCCAAGTGGGTAAAGGCTTTGTTTTTTTTCCTTGTGATATTTGAGCGTTCAAAATAAAACTCCTCTACTCTCAGTCTTTTTCTTTTGCTTAAAGCTGACTGATGTAGAGGGCTTGGGGCCCTCTACAAAACCAGTCCTTTAAGGGCAGAGAAAATAGTGGCCAGAATACAGAGTGGCCAGGACCACTCTGCTGGGAAGGAACCAGCCTTGGGGCCATGGTGGGGGATGGCAGGGTAACCCTTGTCCTTGACAGGCAACCTGGCTCAGGCCCAGTTCTTCCCTCATCAGCCTGCTACTTCAGACAAGCTATTTTCTGTTTTCTCAGTACAAAGAAACCTTAAATAATCCTTGCCTTCACTATCTCACAACGTTAGCAGGAGCCAAAAGTGAACTAATGGAGTTAAGAAAAGCGAAAGTCTTGAAATAGAAAGAGATGCCACACGATTTGGTATTCCGTTTTATTTACTGTTATTCTCTGGTAGAAAAGGGACATCCCAAGACAGCTTGGAACAAGAAACCCGTTCCTCAGCCCTCTTCCGGCCTTACCAGACACCCATGAAGGAACACAACACACTCCATTCTAGTGGCCACAGCCAAACTGACCACAGCAGGTGACTTGCTAGAGCTCACCTACTCAGTGATTAGAAGGGAGGTGGGTTCTGTGGCTCTGTCCTGCACAGGGCAAGTACAAAAGGTGAAGGAGAGTGACCTGGATCCGTTGCTGCCTTTGATGTGCTCTGTGAGGGTAAGTACATTCTTAACAGTGCTGTACCGGAGAGTTGCATTTCGATTAGTGAAGAGGGAAGCCTGTCTGTGGGTGTACTTAGAGCTACATGTCAGAATTTCTATCTCTGGGATTCAGGAAGATCAGGGAAATAAGCCAAATATCTCTTAGGGTGAGGCACAGTGGGGCCCCTTCAAACAACCTGTGTGAACCCTGTAGTCTCCTGTTTCTGTCTACCAAAGCATGGCCTCCTGTTTTGGTCCTGGGGAAGACACCTTCCCATGGGCCTCTAGGTAAGATGCATCCTGTGAAGAAAGACTGTTTAGGGCAAGGATGTGTCATGATGTCACCAACAATGTTAGCTTACCTTCCCATCGTGGCAGATTTCATACCCTTCGGGCTTACATTCATGAGACCTAATGAGCATCTTCAACTGGTATTTATTAAGAACCTTGGAGGTAATATCTGGTCCAAAATAGCAGCCCCCTCCTCGACTTGTGTTTGGGTAACAGCCTCTTTTGCCTCTGGGATCACTCCACAGAATATCGATAACCTTTAAACAACAAACCAGATTAGGCCACTAGTTATAAGCGAGAGTCTATCTTTCTAGATTCCAACTTATTTGCCAGAAATACCAACCCAAGTTATCCCAGAGTCTGTTTCTCATTCCTCCTTCAAATTTGTTTTAGACTCATCTCCTCCATGAATCTTTTCCACACTAATTGTAATGCCCGTAGCCACTGTGGTCCCTTTCTGCTCATCCCCAATAACCAGTGCAGCCATACTTCATAATCATGAAGAATCAGCCCTTGCTTTTGTTTGTCTGTCTTTAAAAAATCTCATCATGATTGTTTCACAATTGCTGAATTTACCAAGGTCTTTTCTCTCTCTCTTTTTAAAAATTTTTATTTATTTCTTTGAGTGAGAGGGAGAGAGCACAAGCACAAGGAGGCAGGGAGGGAGCAGCAGAGGGAGAGGGAGAAGCAGGCTCCCCGCTGAGCAGGGAGCCTGATGCGGGGGCTCGAGCCCAGGACCCTGGGATCATGACCTGAGCCGAAGGCAGACGCTTAACCATCTGAGCCACCCAGGTGCCCCTCAAGGTCTTTTCTCTTAAAAGAACTTCATCGTCATGTTCCAAGAAGAAAGCAGCTCCCTACAATGAACGCATATTAGAGGTTCTTAATATGTTCAAAGTGATAAGGTAGGTCTCCCAGCTGTGGCTTTGGCCCTGGTTTTTCTCCTGTAGAGCAGATAGCATGAGAAAGACTTTTTCCCACCACAAATGTAGACAAGTGTTCATCCAAGAATACTTCCTAAGTCATCTCCTCCCCTTTTTGTCCTATTGATAAGAACATTCTCAGTTCCAATGACTGGTTCCCACAATGTGTCCTCCTAAATCCACAAGTATTTCATTAGCATAACATTTCCTTTTGGGGCTGAAAGAGGAAAATGCAGCCTACATGATGTCCAAGACTGAAGATCCAAGTTTCTAAGAATATTTTTCATTGTTCTGATCTACATATAAGGTTTCTTTATCTAAGCTCCTATAGGAGTTTAAGCAGTAGTGAGAAAAACTAGCTTTGTCACTAAAGCTGTACAGCCTCGAGAAAACTCTCTGGTCTCTGTTTCCAGATCTTTAAAATCAGGGGTTTGGGCTGGGTTACTTGTAAAGTATCTCAAAGTTCTAACAGACTATGAGTCTAAGAGTCTGTCTTTTCCACCTTTCTGTTCTGCAGGCTTGAAGGAGCACACATTTTAAGTTCTGCAGTTACTCAAGCGAGTCCAAGTCAGGTCTTAACAAGAGAACCAGAAATGGTTGTCCCAGTAAACTGGACTGTACACCGATTTATAGGTTTGGTTTTGAAGGGGAGCTAGAAATAAGTGAGGAAGAAGACAGTGAGGTGAAGAGAAGAAGAGAACTGGTAGGAGAACTCTGGAATGCTAAGCACTTGGTCAGAGCCTGTAGCAACCCTCCATCAGGCGCGAACCAGACACTTAGGGAATTTTTGATGATTGACTGCAGTGAGAGTTAAAACCACCCAAAGAAGATTCAGACCAGGATTCTCCTTTTTCCCCTACCTCACTCGCACGTTGGCACAATCCTACCCCACAAATAAATACAATGGAGCCCATTTGCCTTGCTGGTGTTTATGACAAAACAAACACTTGCCTTGTCATATCTGGCTCTTACACCATGAATTCATGTTTGGGGGTCCTGATTTGACCTTTAGTGTAATGAAGGCAGAAGCACAGAACACAAGGAATTGTGTTTTATAAGGAGGGGATTAAGTTTTAAATTCTCACATGAAATGCAAGTCATTTATAGCCAAAATTACCCCCGGAACACCTCTTAAATTACCCTCAATGCACACTATACATGATTTGTGTATACATTCCTATACATTAATATGGATGTGTGAATATTTTATATATGTGATAATGTATCATGGGATAAATAACCTTCGTGAAAATAAAATTTTACATACTTTTCTCCTTTTTGTCGCATACATGTAGTTGAAATTTACACAGATTCAATGTATACAATGGACTCTGTTGAACTAGAAAAAGCACTGACCAAGGAGTTATTTCCTCAGGCGTCACCTGTGTCACCTTGGGCAAATCATTTAACCTATTTGAGCTTTAGTTGGCTCATCAATGAAATGAGAAAGATAAATCTAACATTCATTTTTCTTTGACTCAAAGTCAAAGGGGGTATTAGTTTAATAGAAATGAATGTCTTCAGAATTACCCATTCCATGAGTTTGCATCTCTTTTTTCTGTCTAGAACTCATTCACTTGACTTGGTTTACCCAGACTGTGGCTATAATACAGATTTGATCCTGAGGCCCTTTGTTGGTGAAACAAATTCCTCAGCAGAGACAGTCTCTTTCCTTCCAACATCCTCTCCTCTGAAATGCAAGGGCCTTGTGAGTGGTAAGTGCATGAAAGAATAGTTATTTACAACATTCCTTCCTGAAAATTTTCATACCAAAAATTGGAGAAGTTTTACTGAATCACAGTTTTTATAGGACCTGGTCAACAAAAATCTATTTGTGTCTCAGCCTTTAAACCTCCTAAATCCAGAATAAATCCAGCAAGAAGTGCCCTGTGCTTGTCTGCAGCTCTAAATAATCCAGTTCCCAAAAGTATGCTTTGAGAGAGAGTTAATAGCTCTGAAAGGTGTATCTAAATGCTTCTCTTCTAAGACACTAATACTATAGATTCACTATTCTTTTGTATTTTCCCTTGGTGATGTGTCCCCCTTCCAGCTTTTGAACATGTCGTTTAAAAAGCTGTGCTCAACCCAAACCTTCCAGCAATACCTAAACTGCTTTAGATGCCTACTCCTTGTTTACCCACTGTCTCACTGGATGAGGAGACACTAGAGCAGTTCATTTCCTTCTTGAGACCTCCTATCACTTTGAAGTCATCTTTCCCTTCGGAAAAGGAACATGGGCATTAAAGGCAGACCTGGAATCACAACCTGCTCTGTCGCGCAGTGACTAGCCAAGGGACCACGACCAAGCCGTTTCACTTTTGGGAGCCTACACAATGAGGCCCACTACCCTATTTAAAATTACAACTCTGTCCTCTACCTCCAGTTCTCCTGATACTCCTAATCTTGTTCTAGTTTTATTTTTTTTCCCATAGAACCTCTCACTTAGCATATTATGTAATTTACTTGCTTTTTGTTATATTATTATTTAACTCCTCCCCCTAGAATGTAAGCTTCATGAGGTAATAGATCTTTGGTCACTGACATTCTCAAAAGCCTAGAACAGTGACTGACACATAGCAGATGTTCAATAAATACTTATTAAATGAACGAATTAAGAGAAGGGAGTCACTCAGGAAATAAATAATTAAAATTATTGTTTAAACCTCTCTGATCTTCTTGTTGCAAGTCTGTCCTAAAGGAAGGGTATCACGCTTGTCTCTCTACGGTGACATAGCTGTGAGTACATATATCCCCCACATCTCTGTGAACATAAGATAAAACTTAAATTATAGCACTCTGCCAAGAATTTTGCACTTCTGTGTAGGGGACAAATAAAGAGCCTATGACCTTTATTATAACATAGCTCATAGCTATTGAGAAATAAAGTATGAAATCTGGTTTTATCTGGAAATTTCAACTCTAGCTAACTAAAGTATGCATACCCACTTTGTACCAGCAACTGAGAGAAGAAAACTAAGGGTACAACTGAAATTATTAAAATATTGGGAATGAGGGGCGCCTGGGTGGCTCAGTCATTAAGCGTCTGCCTTCAGCTCAGGTCGTGATTCCGGGGTCCTGGGATTGAGGCCCACATCGGGCTCCCTGCTCTGCGGGAAGCCTGCTTCTCCCTCTCCCACTCCCCCTGCTTGGGTTCCCTCTCAAGCTGTCTCTCTCTCTCTGTCAAATAAATAAATAAATAAATAAATAAATAAAATCTTTAAAAAAAAATATTGGGAATGAGATTCTGGTCCATTTTACCCTTTCTCAGCTCTAGTCATGTACATGGAGACTGCAAGATGCCTCATCTATATTGTTGGGGTGGTGGGAAGTTTTATTACAGAATAATGACCCCCCGTCTCCTCCCTCCCACTTCTTAAGGCTCCATCTCTCTAGAATTCTAAACTTATCTAGGCTTCCAGAGGCGAGAATTTTCTTTTTGTGCAACTCCAATCTCTTTGGCATCATCCTTTTTATTCACCATCCTAGAAGTGCTTGTTCTAACCTTTGGTCTTTGGAATTTGGATGTCAGAATTTAAGGAAGCATCCTTTCCAACTTGCTATAGGTTGTCTCTTGTATTTACTTGATTTTTAAATACTTTGGACGCACAAGCCATTGATGAATTCTATTTCTCTCTCACTACCCCTTCTCTGTCCCTCTCTATCCCCTCAGCTCTCTCTTCCTCCTCATTGATAAGAGGATATTTTGACAACAGAAATCACATTTTAGTCAATATTTTCAGCAGTCAAGGTATAAGAGTACGGAGTCAAGAAATAGAGGCTTCTGAGAGCTAAGCAATTAGAAGAAGGCTGATGGTTCCATGATACTAGTACCAAGAGCAGACCAGACAGAAGTTTCACAGACAGATCAGGGAAAGGGGCAGATGAGAAGAGCCCTCCTAGGGCCAGAATAAGCCTCAAGGATTGTCATACCCTGCCCCTGCAAAGGAGACTGACTTTAATGGGATCAGATTGTGGAGCTATTTGTGAGCCCCAGAGCATTGTTAAGAACAATAGCCCAATCAGCTAGCAATTAGTGAAGGCTAACAGCTGGGTATGATACAAATAGAGGCAGATGGGCCAAAGCTTAAAGGGGAAGTCAGGGAAAGAGACAGTCAAAGAGAGCCTACCTAAAACTACAATGACTCCCAGTAGTCAGGGAAACTGTGTACATACTCAAGGCAGCACCCTGTGAAGAGTGACATCAGAGACTGCACACTGAGAGGTCACAGACTTCACTGAACTAGTCAAGACAAGCCCTAAACAAATAAATGAGTGAAAACGCAAATAACAACAAGCCCCAGAGGAGCATGGGAATAACTATCTAGAGTTACTACAGTATGTTACTTAAAATGCCCAGTTTTCAACAAAAAAGTTACAAGACATGCAAAGAAAAAAATACACAGGGAAAAACAAGCAGGCAATAGAAATTGCCTTTGAAGGGATTAGATGTTGACTTAGTGGACAAAGATTTCAAAGCAACTATTATAAATATATTCAAAGACAGATAAGTACATTCAAAGACAGACACATATAGATATATATAGAGCACTCCACTCGACAGGAATGGAATACATTTTCTTCTCAAGAGCACATGGAACATTCTCCAAGATAGACCATACACTATCCATAAAAAAAGCCTCACTATGTTTTCAAAGGATTTAAATCATATAAAGTACGTTCTCCAACCAAAATTGAATTCAAGTAGAAAGCAATAAGAGAAAGAAATATGAGAAATTCACAAATATGCAGAAATTAAATAACATGCTGCTAAATAATATATGGGTTAAAGAAGAAATCACAAGGGAAATTAGAAAATACTCTGAGATGAATGAAAATGAAAGCACAACACCACAAAATTTACAGGATGGAGCTAAAGTAGTAGTTACAGGGAAATCTATAGCTTCATTACAAAAGGCAAGAGATCTTGAATCAATGACATTACCTTTCACCTTAGGAAACTAGAAAAAGAAGAGCAAACTAAATCTAAAGCAAGCAGAAAGAAGGAAATAATAAAGACGAGAACAGAAATAAATGAAGGAAAGAATAGAAAATAATAAAGGAAGTCAATAAAACCAAAAATTGGTTCTTTGAAAAGATCAATAAAATTAACAAACCTTAGTGAGACTGACCAAGGAAAAAAAGAGACTCAACTTACTAAAATTAGGAATGAAAGAGGCGACAGCACTACCGACTTTATATATATATTTAAATATATATATTACAAACAACTTTAGGCCAACAAATTAGATAAATTAGATGAAATGAACAAATTCCAAGGAAGAGAAACTATCAGGACCACCAAGATAAAAACCACTCAAGAAGAAATACAAAATCTGAATAGAACTATAGCAAGAAAAAGATTGAATTAGTAATTTTTAAAATTCCTACAAAGAAAAGCTCAGGCTCAGATCACTTCACTGATGAATTCTACCAAACATCTGAAGAAAAATTATTATCAGTCCTTCACAAACACCTCCAAAAACTGGAAGAGGGGCTAATGCTTCCCAACTCACCCTATGAGGCCAGTCTTACGCTAATACCAAAGATATCACAAGAAAAGTACAGAACAATACCCCTTATGAATATAGATGTAAAATCCTTAAAAAAATTAGCAAACTGAAGCCAGCAACATATAAAATGGATTACACACCATGACTAAGTAGGATTTATCCCAGGAACGTAAGGTTGGTTTAAATCAATCAACGTAATACACCATATTGATAGAATAAAGGGGAAACCCCACATGATCATCTTAATAGATACGAAAAAAGCATTTGACAAAATCCAACACTCTTTCATGATAAAAACATTCAACAGAGTAGGCACGGAAGGGAACTTCCTCATGATGAAGGGCAGCTAATATATAAACAAACAGCTAATATACTTAATGGTGAAAGACTGAATGCCTTCCCCTAATATCAGGAATAAGACAGGGATGTCTTATTTGAATAGAAGCACACTTCTATTCAACGCTGTACTAGAGGTTCTAGACAGGGTGATTAAGGAAGAAAAAGAAATAAAAGGCAGAGAGCTTGGAAAGGAAGAAGCAAAATTATCTTTATTCACAGATAACATGCTCATGTATATAAAAGTCCCAAGGAATCCATGAAAAATCATTAGAATGAATAAATAGGCTTATCAAGGTTCACAACATGAGATCAGTATACATAAGTCAACTATATTTTGAAAGGTAATTTAAAAAACAATTCTATTTTACAATAGCACTGAAAGTACTTTGGAATATTTATTTTCAACTTGAGCAAAACAAGCGCCTCCATGTACATTATTACAAAACACTGTTGAAATTAAAGATCTAAATACATGGAAAGACATTCCATGTTCGTGGAATTGGAGATATAACATTGTTAAGATTGCAATAAGAACACAGATTCAAAGCAATTCCAGCTGTTTCTTGGTAGAAATTGACAAGCTGTCCCTAAAATTCATATGGAAATTCAAAGGACCCAGAACAGTCAAAACAATCTTGAAAAAGAACAACAAAACAAAGAACACATATTTCCCACTTTCAAAACTTTCTACAAAGCTATAGTAATCAAAACTGTGTAGTACTGTTGTAAGGCTAGACATATAGATCAGGGAGTAGAACTAAGAGTCTAGAAATAAACCTTCATATTTATGGTCAGTTGATTTTTGATAAAAAGTGCCAAGAAAATTCAATGAGAAAAATCCTTTTAACAAGTGGTATTGAGATAACTGGATATCCACATGCAAAAGATTAAAGCTAGACCTCTACCTCCCACATTACACAAAAATTAACTCAAAATGGATTACCCAAATTGAAGAGCTTAATCTATAAAATTCTTAGAAGAAAATATAGCAATAAATCCTCATGACTTTGGGTTAGACAATGGCGTCTTAGATACAACACCAAAAGCAAAAGCAAAAAAGAAAAAAATAGATAATATTAGATTTCATCAAAATTAAAAACTTTCGTGCTGCAAATAATACCATCAAGAGAGGGAAAAGACAGTCTACAGAATAGGAAAGAATACCTGCAAATAATATCTCTGATAAGGAATTTATATCCAGAATATATGAAGAACTCTTACAATGCAATAATAAAAAGATAAATAACTCAATTTTTAAAATGAGCAAAGGATCTGTATAGATATTTCTCCAAAGACATACAGAAGGCCAATTAGCACATGAAAAGATGCTCAACATCATTACTAATTAGAGAAATGCCAAAACCACAACAAATCAAAACCATAACGAGATTCCACCTCATACCCACTAGGACAGCCATAATCAAAAGGAGAGGATGTGAAGAAATTGGAACCTTCATACGTTGGTAATGGAAATGTAAAATGGTGCAGCCATTTGGGAGAACAGTTTGGAAATTTCTCAAAATGTTCAACTTAGAATTATCTTATAACCGAGCAGTTCTACTCCTAGGTATATACCAAAGAGAAATGAAAGCATACATCCACAGAAAAACTGGTATGTGAATGTTTATAGCAGCATTATTCATAATAGCCAAGAAGCAGAAACAACTCAAGGGTCTACCCACTGATGAATGAATAAACAAAATGTAGTATATCCACACCACAGAATATTATTTAGCAATAAAAAGAAACACAGTACTGATACATCCTACAACATGGATGAACTTCAAAACATTGAGCTGAGTACAAGAAGCCAGACACAAAAGATCACATATTGTATGGGTCCATTTCTAGAACATGTCCAGAATAGGAAAATCTATAAAGACCAAAAGTAGATTAGTGGTTGCCTAAGGCTGGGGGAGGGGGTGGTTGGGGAGAGAATGGGGAGTGACTAGTAATAGGTATGGAGTTTCTTTTTCAGGCAATGAAAAAGTTCTAAAATTAGATTGTCATGACAGTGGCACAACACTGTGAATACACCCAAACCAGTGAATTATATACTTTAAATGAGGGAGTCCGTCTCAATGAAGCTATTAAAAGTATAGTGATGAGTTCAGAAGGAAGAATATGCTCTGCTTATAAAGGTGAGTCACTTGTTATGTATCTAAGGGATAACATCATGTATGCCGCACCTTCACTGCCACTTTGGGGAACATTTTGATACCTACCTGTTCCCATTCATGCTTTGTTAACTGCTCAGAAGGGGATCCATTTGTTTTGAGTTCCCGAGGTATAAGAGTTGCACCTACTTTATTTTTCTTCAAGTCAGTATCGTGGTCTTCAACCAAGGGAATTGGTGGCATCAGCACAGATTTCATCTACAAAACAAAGTCACACTTTAGCCAACCCTATGTTTCATGTGCCACATGCAGAAACTTCAGTGCCAGTTGCCACTCTGTCTCTGTTGCTGTGCCTCAACCTGATGAAGAACCGTGTCTCTTAAGGCCACTTAGGATCAGGATACTTTGCCCAGCTCCCCCCTAAAGTACCACACCATCATTTTCTCCTGGAAGCCCGGCTAGCCATCCTTTCTCACACCCCCTGCCAGGGAGTTTAAAGAATTCTAAACTAGAATCTTAGTCTATAGAATCTTCCTTCTCTGTCCCTCTGCGTTGACACCCCCACCAACCCACCCACCTTACCAAATGCCTTTAATGAACCTAGAAGGAGGTTGTCATGAAGTTCCCCCAACCCTACTCCCCGCCGCCATTAACAATCATACCACAACAGCAGGCATAACCCAGGCAGCATGGTCATCCCTACACTTAGAGGGTCCTAAGGGATGGGGAAGTGGAGAAAGTGGGAAAGGTATAAAACTGGACTTGAAAATCTACTTTTGGGGGCGCCTGGGTGGCTCAGTTGGTTAAGCGACTGCCTTCGGCTCAGGTCATGATCCTGGAGTCCCAGGATCGAGTCCCACATCGGGCTCCCTGCTCAGCGGGGAGTCTGTTTCTCTCTCTGACCCTCTCCCCTCTCATGCTCTCTCTCTATCTCATTATCTCTCTCAAATAAATAAATAAAAAATCTTTAAAAAAAATCTACTTTTGTATTTCATTTGGGAGAGTTCCAAAGGCTTAAACCTACTACTTTTGCTACAGTTCAATTGTATTTAATACAAGTATGTGCTGCCAATTCAACCTCACTCTAGGAGGGGTAGAAGACACAGGAAGTACACAAGTCAAATTTCTATCTTCTAAAACCAGGCTTATGAGTAGGTGGAACGATGACCCCCAAAGGAGGTGAATTTTGGTTTCCTGGAAAAATCCTGGCCCAAAAACTTCTCCCCAGGGGGTGTCTTGGTGACTAAAATTCAAACTTTGGTTCCAAGTATCAGGAAAGAGAGGAGAGAGTTGGAGGGAGCGAGCTTTGTGTTCAGAGCTTACTCTATGCTGTTTTCTTCATCTAGGTAATTCTATTTAATCCTCCTAACAACTCAATATAGTAGGTATTTTTAGCTTCCATACACAGGCGCAGAAACTGAGGCTTAGAAGACTTTCGTACCTTGCCCAGTCACCCAGCCAGGAAGTGGCGGAGGTAGGAAGTAAAGCTGGCTATGGCTGTCTGATGTCAGAGCCTCATGGAGTTTACTAGGTCAAGGTGGCTCTCACCTTTTGGTCTCCGCAGAGATAGTAATAGGCATTACTGGACTGATAGTCAACTTCCAACCAATCTAGGCAAGTAGAGTCTAGAGCTGGAATTTAATTTGATATAGACAGAAAGGTGACCCCTATTCACTTTGAGTTTCTGGAGCCCTTATACCTTTTATATACATATGAAAGATAGTATTACTGCTAACTTGGGGAACCCAGCTTGGGGCTTGAACTCAGGACCCTGAGATCAAGACCTGAGCTGAGCTCAGATCAAGAGTCAGAGGCTTAACCAACTGAGCCACCCAGGCGCCCCAACACATGCTCTTCATAGCTCAAAAAGCTCTAGAGAGGGCTGGCTGCTCAGGCTCACTTCAGAAAAGGAAAAGTTTTCAATTGATCAATTGGTAGGGGTTGCCATGGCTGATTAGCGCTGTTGTCACAGGGCGGGTGCTGGTAGAGTGGGGCATTCCTGCCATGTGCTTGCCAATATTTGACTGACTAAAACATCATGTTCCCTTGCTTTTGGCTAGAATCACATCCACTTGTTATGTTAACACTATCTTGTGTTGAGCAAAATGTTTTACTGGCTTGACTATTAGCTGATATCATGAGAAAGAGGCCTTAAATGTAGGGTGACCTTAAAATGTATTGCAATTGGAGTACTTCTGAGAATAAAGGGAGGCACTATTAACAATTACCAGGACAACAGGTACAAGCCAGGAAATATGGTCATGGTCGGGTGAGGCTGGAGAGGAGATATATAAAATCACCACAGAATCAGGAATCAGAAGTTTCTATCCAGTTTTGTCTTAGGTCCGCCCTGTTTTGGTCTTAAATGTATTAGGACACATCCAACAAACACTGATCAAGTATTTACTACATCTTAGGTGCTGGAGTATTATCAGTGAATGAGAGAAGCAGGGGAGGATAGTAAATAGTATCCCAATTCTTTACTCAGTTCTGGTAACTGTTATGAAGGATAGGTACAAGGGGCTTGAGAGCAGGTAGAAGGGGACCTGACCTAGTCTGGAGGTCATGGAAGGCTTTCCAGAGGAGGGGGGTACATTTAAGCTGATAATAAAGGGATGAGAAGAAGTTAGCAGTAATACTATCTTTCATATGTATATAAAGGTATAAGGGCTCCAGAAACTCAAAGTGAATAGGGGTCACCTTTCTGTCTATATCAAATTAAATTCCAGCTCTAGACTCTACTTGCCTAGATTGGTTGGAAGTTGACTATCAGTCTTGAGGGGTAAAGGGTTCAGGTTTCTCACTAGGACCATATACGATCATCTGGTTCCAGAGCTGCTATTGGTCCTCCTATGCCCCTGGTCTGGGGGCTTTGGCTGGGCTCTGGTACAGGACAAAGATAATTCCAGTCACTCTGCAAGGCCCAGCCAAAGGAGCCCTTCACTAAGTACGGGAGCTTTACAGGCCACACACAGCCTCTTCCCTTAGAGGTTCTATACACGTTCTTGCTCTGCTTCTGTTGTACTTAATGTGATTACTCAGTTTAAAATATTTCCCCCAAAATACCCTGAGCCATTTGGAATATAAGAGAAGCCATAGCAATTCAGAAATAAACTGCTGTATGACTCCATCTATAATGAGGCACCCAAAGTAGTCAAATTCAGGGACAGAAAATAGCATGGTGGTCACCAGGCACTAGGGAAAGGGGAGAAGGGAGAGTTGTTGCTTAATGGGTAGAGTTTCAGTTTGGGAAGATGAAAAGTTCTGGAGATGGATGGTGGGGACGGCTGCACTACAATGTGAACGTACTTAACGCCACTGAACTGTACAGTTAAAAATGCTTAATTAAAGTGGTCAATTTTATGTCATGTATATTTTACTACAACATTAATCTGAAATTTTAATTTTTTAATTTTTTATTTTATTTATTTATTTATTTATTTATTTATTTTTTAAAAAGATTTTATTTATTTATTTGAGAGAGAGAGAATGAGAGATAGTGAGCACGAGAGGGAAGAGGGTCAGAGGGAGAAGCAGACTCCCTGCCGAGCAGGGAGCCCGATGTGGGGACTCGATCCCGGGACTCCAGGATCATGACCTGAGCTGAAGGCAGTCGCCCAACCAACTGAGCCACCCAGGCGCCCCTGAAATTTTAATTTTTTTAAAAATCAGGATTTTCACTTTTAGAAACTATATGAAATGCCAACCTTTCCTCGTTTTCCACTTTATCACGAAGTTAAAAAAATATATTTGCCTTATTCGGAAGTTACCCGTTCAGTTCTTTATCTTGCCATCATAGATTTTCTTAAAATTTGTACTAATTTTTGCAGTTACGACAACTACTGAAATGCAAATGAATATATATATATATATATATACCCCCTTATAAAACTCTGCGACAAGATTTATGTAAACATTGCTTCTTACTTTGTTTCTTTCTATACGGTGGAGCAAATTCAAGTCTGTGGACTCTGATATCCCACCATGTATGACCAGGATTTCATTGTCAATGATTGTACCAATTGGGAGCCAGGAATAGAGGTCTTCTAAGATTTCTAAGATTTTCTTTCCATGCATCTGTAAGTAAGAATTTGAGTAAGTTTTGTTTTTTTGGTAAGTTCAAGTTTATCACAAAATGCAACAGCTTTCATGCGAGGCAAAGGAGCAAAGGAAGTTGGCATGGAGTCACTAACCCACCAGCATACATTAATCATGTCTTTTTATTCTATGTTTGTTTGTTTGTTTGTTCTATGTTTTTGATACTTGGACATCTTGGTGCCTTGCTGACCCTGGAGGAGAGATTGCTCCTCCCAGAGCTAGTTAATGCCTAGAAATTGTCGATGAGTTGCCTTTCATATGCAAACCAACCAATCCAGAGCCCACACCCACACTCACTCAGTGAGTAAAAATCTCTTCCTTTAAGATAGTCATTTCTGTACCTGCAATGTTTTACCATAAAACAAATCCTGGGTACCTTTACAGCAACAGAATATGTTTGAATCTGTGCTGAAACTAACACAAAAGTCACAATGAAACAGCTTCCTGTTTGGTCCCGGAAGAAAATTAGGCCTCTACCCTGGCCAGGGCTTCCTGCTGTGCTTTTATTTTTACCCGGTCACCCTTCCCGAAGGCTCTTTTTTTGTAGTTCTATGTATAAACAGCAAAGAGAAGGCATTAAAAAAAAAAAAAAAAGTCCGAGTCTTACCTTATATTTATGCAAAATTTCTTTTGTGAAGCCATACCTGAAAAAAAAAAACCAATGGTATTTAAACTAATTAAACGTTGATAACTCCTACCTACGTGAGTCACGCAAAAAGGGGACCCACTGACATCTCATTATCACAAGTATGAAGAACTCAAGAAACTAGGGTTTAGTTGAAACTATTTCCTACCCAAGTTTTTGCTAGGCATGATGGGAAAGAACAAAAGCAGCCAATGACATCATCCCTACTCGGAAGGAGCTTATAGCATAGTTGGAGAAAGAAGATAAATTTTCATGGAACAATTACAAGGTGACTTTAAGACCTATGTGCTAGGTATAGGATGTGTAGATGCTGCAAGTAGTCAGAGAAGTGTGTGGTGGCAGCTGGGGGAAGCTGTGGAGGAGAATGCCTTTCATTTAGAGAGTATTTCTCAGACATCCTAAATCTTATAGTGAATGAATGAAGGCGTGGGAAGGGGGGGTGGTGGGGGAGACTGAACCGAGACAAAGAGAAGCCTAGATAGAAGACAACAAGTTGGCCCTTTATACTCTCTCTGATATAGTTCATGTAATGGTATTCAAGATTTTAATAGAAAGAGTCAGGAATTTTCATGCCTGAATAGCAATCATGAAGGGAGCTTTAGTGACGGAAATTTTTTTTATTACTTTTCCTTGCCTAAAGATAATAATATACGTTCTTAAGGCCCAACATAGGGAAGTCGGAACACAGCATGTTCATTCCGGGTATCCATGCAAATCACGTCACGTCAGGCTTCTACAATGTAATGTTATGTTTTCCGAGATGAATTCGGTCCTCTACTCCCCAAAGGTGTCTATGTTGTTAAATCCCAAGGACACCGGGCAGTCCTCATCTTTCTTACCCTCCCTGAAGCACTAAATATGGTTGACTACATCATCCTTCTAGAAAACTTTTCTTCTCTTGGATTCTGTGACAATAAACCCTCTTGGTTTTCCTCGTACCTTTCTGGGTATTCTACAACTCCTTTGCAAGTTCTTCTCTGCCTGACCTTGAATGGCGGTGTTCCTTCAGATTCTGTCCTAGGCCCTCTTCCCCCCTTAATTTCTCTCTTGGTAATCTCATTCTGGCCTAGGGCTTTGGGTACTCTGTGCCAATACTGCAGGACAATGCCTCAGGCCACACTGCATTTCTGAGCTCTGGACACATACACTCAACTACCTAATCAAAAGCACTTCAAATCACCTTACCCCAAAATGAACTTACCATTCTCTCTCATCCCAACCTCTCCTTCTTATCATGTTCCCAATATCAGCAAACAATGCCAACATACTCCCAAATTCAAGCCGGGAACCTAGAGGTTATCCTTGATTCTCTCCTCTCTCGAGTCCCCCATATCACATTACCATGCTTTAAACCATCATTGCCTAAACTCCTCTTGAATCTGTCTACTTCTTTGCATCTCCATCCCTACTACCTTGGTCTCCATGAGAATCCATCATCTGTCTCTTCAACTACCTCCTAATTGGCCTCCCACATTCAAATATTTCTTCCTGCTGCACTTAAAACACAAATTTTATGATACTCTTCTATGATTATTTTTGTTGTCCTTAGAAAAAAGTCCAAGTTCCTTTGCACGATCCAACCATGTCTTATGTCTCCAGCCCTATTAGGGACCATCCTGTCCCTCAGTCTGTGCTCCTACCCTAAAGTTCTTTCATATAAAAAGTGTTGTGTCAGGCTCCGCCTAAGTTGTCCCCTCACTGTGGAATACCATTTCTCAGCCAATACCATGGCTGTCTCTGAATTGCCTAATTCATCCTCAGGTCTCAGGCTGATACTATACTTCTATGGGAGAACCTTCTATCACCCCCCCAGACAAGTTAGGTCCCCACTTTATAAACTCATCATACTTGAAAAACCTGTTCAACCTAAGTCTTCCCTGCTACATGTAACCTCTGTGAGGGCAGGGGCCACATCTCTTTCATTAACAATCACAGACACTAGATAAATATGATTGGCTAACTGAATAAATGAAAGGATAAGTGGCATGCCCAAATAAAAGTACTGAGCTACATTACATATAAGGGACCTCAGATAACAGTCTGGGATTTTTTTCCATCGTAGTCTTAGCATCTGCTTCCATTCCTAAAAAATTAGAACTGAAAGTCTGTACTCAAGCCAGGGGGTGAAACTGCCCCAAACACAAAACTAATCAGTTGCTGAGCTTTGATCAAGGCACCCAAAAACCTAGAACCCAAAGCACGAGACACGTCCTGCCTTCTGCTGCCCTAGAGCAAATTGGTAAAGGAGGGGCGAAGGGAGAAGAAAGAAGGGAAAGGGGAACATTTATCCCCGACTGTGTCTTTCAGGAAAACTGGGTAAGCCATTTAACCAATCTTTATTCCTCAAATCTCCAGTGAGTCAGATAGTTGAAATGCTACATTACAGCTGTTCTCAAATATGTTTATGAACAATTATGCCAGAAGCAATCACCATGTCGTAAAAAAATATACACATCAGTGAAAAACACAGCACTAGTTTCTGAGACAACATCTGAGGCAAGCCAAAAGAGTAGCAACAGAATGATCTCATCTAAGCCTGCTCATAGAACCTACCATACCTCCAAAGCTTGCCTAACACATCCAGCCAGGAAACAATTTGGCCTGTGATGGGAGGCATGGGAGGAAAAGAAAGAACATAATAGAAGGGAGAAGCAAGGACAGAACTGGAAGAAAAAATAGGAAGAAGACTTGGGAGCAACGTATACTCACTCATGAGAAGACAGAGGTGGTAAATAGAGGTAAGAATCGAGGTCTCCCTTGAGATTCCCCTCATCCCTACCTCTCTACACTCACCTCTAACTCTCTGCTAGGAACTAAACGAGGCAGTATTTTTCAGTATGGGAAAAAAAGGGGAAATCTAAAGGCCTAGGTTACCTCAGATTCATCATAAAATCTTCATGGTTCCCTCTGTTCAAGTGCAGGTCATTGGGGTAGACAAGAAAACTCACAAACAGGATCATTAGGATCTCTATGGAATGTTTTCCTCGGTCTACAAAATCACCATTAAAAATATATGAGTTGTTCCTTGAGGGGAGACCATTCTGTGGAAGGAGGAGAGGGGGGAAAAACAAGCAGTTAAAAGAATGTACTTTTAAAGTAAGGCTTTGTACTTAAATGTCCCTGTGAATATGGAGAAAAGAGGCTGAGTCGGTTCCTCCACTGGGAAAAATCTGCTCACTAACTTGAGGTAGTTTCGCTCTTCCAGGGCAGGCATCACCTGCAAGGGACCTTGGAAGTGAAGCATTAGCTTTGGATAGGAAGATTCCAGGGGGATGGTGACTGCCCATTGTACCCACTACCCACTCTGAGTTTTCTCTTAAAAGGAGCTGATTTTTGTCCTATCAAAAATGGCTAACCTTGGGCGCCTGCACTGCTCAGTCAGTGGGGAGTCTGCTTCTCCCTCTGCCCCCCCCAATGCTCTCACGCATGCTCTCAATTTCTCTCTCAAAAATAAATAAATAAAATCTTTAAAAAAATTTTTTTTAAATGGCTAAATTTATCTCTTCTTTCTCCCTTGAGAAGAGGGAAACTTCCATCCAAGGAAGAACACTGAACCAAGAGCCAAAAGTCTTTCATTCTAAGAGGCCCTATGTTTAACTTCTTTGGGCTGTGAATCCCTCAATTTACAAAAGGGGAGCGCTACTATATCTACTCCCCTCCCCAGATCAAACAAGAGAATGGATATGAAAATACCCAGCAAAGTGTAAGGTACCATGCAACTGTGAGCAGGGCTGATTTATCACCAGTACACTCTGATACAATTACACCAGGTATGGATAGCTGGCAGATATTGTGACTGCTCACTGACCAGGCCATATTAGTTGTTAAATATTTTGATTATCACTCCTGAGTATGAGATAATACTTTTAAACACAGTGTCAGTAGGAAAAAAACTGGGATCAGGACAAAGGTCTGGTCTTTATAACAGATATTGATTCATTTACTTCTGTACTACTAAACTATAAGACAAAACAAACATGCCAGACCCACCAAGCATATCATGCCTGGTAGGGAAATGGTCAAGTGCATTCTATTGCATAGTAAGATAAATGTGAATGTTTAAAAAATACATCACAAAGAGAAAAATTTAAGTACTCATTTGTCCAAATGTATGTCCCCCTTCAAAAAAGTCACCTTCAGGAAATAATCTACATATTCTAGTTATATTAATCTTTTTCAAACTATTTTCAAATTCTTCTTTTTTTAGGTTTCAAACTACAAAAGAAAATCTTATGACCTTATAGTCACTGTCCCAGTATTAATATACATTTAAAATTATTCATACCAATATAGTAGAAATGGTTGAAAAAATATATAATACAGGTCACAATATATAACTCAGGGATTCCACAAATCATCATGTAATGTAACATGTTCTGAAGACAATTGGAAACAAACAAACAAGCAAGCAAGCAAGCAGTAGTATAGTGTCCTGGGCCAGAAATAAGAAGACTTATTTGCTAGTCCAGCTCTACTATTACCCATGTGTCCTTGGGTAAATTATTTAAACTTTATGAGCCTGGGGATGATAACTTCCATACTTACCATGCAGGGCTACTCTGGAACTTGAATGAGACTGTGTGTATAAAATTGCATGAAAACCATACAAATGAGAAGATTCATTTTATTATGACCTCCATGTTATTTCTAATTTTAAGATCCCATTATTTTACATTTTCTTATATATTAATTCACATACGTTTATCACATTGGGCTTAAATAGTGTGAGCCAGTTGCAAAAACATAGGCTATTGCTTATCAGAACTTAAAGAATAAAAGGAAGAATTCTGCATCTCTGATACTCTTCCTTGCCTCAGCCTTCAGCTGGCTGGGATGAGTAAACCAGAGGAATCTGAGGGGTGTTAGAGGCTATTGGCTCTCTTGGGATTCTAGGGGGCTAGAGGAGCAGCAGTAGAGAGCCCTAGGGTGAGAACATGGAAGAACTAGGCCTGAGGGGACCTGCGCATCCCTTGATTAAGGGGAGACCCTGACTCAGAGCATTAGTATGGTCCTGGTTTGGGGGAGAGGGAGCTGGATCTTACTAGAAAAAGTGTAGGGAACTTCATCTCTATTTCTGAAGCTAAAAGAAAACTAACACTTGCATTTAGGGATAGCTAGGAACATAGACACTTCCTCTCACACTCTTGATGCAGGAGTAGCAACTGTTGTGCCTTCAACTATAGACAGGCTTAATCTAGCTTAAGCAGAGAATAGAAAATGAAAATAACCTAGCACTTAAGGGGGATCCAGTAACCAGAGAGGGACAGACCAATCAGATCTGCTAAAGTTCTATCACCTAATGAGCTAGAATTGTTGGAGGACAGAGGAAAACGTTATTTTAAAAAATGAGAGGACAATAAATAAAGAACAAGAAGTTAATAATTCTTGCCATTCAAGGTGTGCTTTCCAAATTTAAAATATCAATAGATTAGAGCTAATTAAAAGAAACAGTGATTGGAAAATACATTATTGACCTGAAAAAGCAAACAGATGAAAAATCTCTCACACAGATTAAAAAGCAAAATGATGGAAATCATAAGGAATGAGTAAGAAATTAGAGTTCAAAGCCAAGAGAACTAATATGGCAATAATCATTCTAGAATCAGGAAAAAGGAACAGATGGAGAAGAGGTAATAATTACATAACGAAGAGAGGGAGATTTCTATGGTTAAAAAGGGACTTCAGCCTGAAGTCTGAAAGAGCTCCTGAATCCTATGCACAATTGATAGGGGAAAAAATATCCCTATTACCTGGTAAATGTCTCAGAAGCTGCTAGACAGAAAGAGTAAGTTACAAAGGGAAAAGAATCATCCTGGCATTAGACTTCTCATATGCAGTAGTGGGAAGTAGAAGATGGTGTAACAAATCTACAAATTAAAGACAGAAAAGGACTGTGAAGCAAGAATTCTATATTGGCCAAAACATCATTAACTTCTTAGGGTGATAGATAATATTTGCAGATGTGTAAAGGATCAAATATCAGCAACAACAGAGATGATCATCAGGGTAGAAGAAAGACATATGTGAGTATGCAGTGATCTAATACCACAAAAGCAATGAACATGTATTGATTGCTTGTTATGTGCTAGACACATTTTTAGGTGCTAGAAACACAGAAGTAAATAATACAAAGTCCCTGCATTCAAGGAGCTTGCATTCAGAGAATACAGCACCCACATGCCCCATAGAGGAAAACATTCAAGAAAATATTCTAATGAAGTAACAGCCAGGGAAAGATCCAAGAGGAACAAATATATTATATAGAATATAGATGTGAACAATGAACAATGAGCCCTCCGGTATATAATTAAATATAAATATAAATCAATAGTGATAATGTGGAACTTGGATTTAAGTATACTAAGCAAGGATTCTAGAAATAGAAGAGACATTCTATGAAGAAAAACCTAATAATGGTCAAGAACTAAAAACATGGCATGAGCAGTAACTTGAATTTGCAGGGGAGGTTAGGGGAGAACAGCAAAGTCTCCACAAATCTCATCCCAATAGGGGACATACATGGAAAGTGTGAAAATAAATACATTTATCTTACTGGAGGAGAGAGAAGATAATGGTGGAAGAATAAAGTTATAGATATCTGAGAAATATACACACACATTATTTATCAGAGATGTCAGGAATGGGAAGATAACCACTATGGAAAAGAAAAGCACAGTAAAAACACCAAAGAAAACTTCACCAAAACAGCACAAAGAAAAGGGAGAAGATGAAACATAGTGAAATAAGAAGTAAGCAAAGTAAAATAGAAGAAAAACTTCCAAAAATATCTGTTGTTATACTAAATGTGAATGGGTTAAATTCTCCCATTAAAATACCAAGATTACTAGACTATATTAAAATACAAAACTCAGGAATATATAGTTTGTGAGAAATACACATTAAAAAATATAGGTAAAGAGAGGTTGAAAACAAGGTAAGTACAACAAAGAGAAAACAAGAATGTAAATATTAATATGAGACTTAAGAACTTAAGACTTTAATTTTAAGAATTTAAGGTTAAAAGTGCTAAACATGATCACAAAGCAACATTACATAATACACTTATGAAGAAGATACAATTCATGAACTTGTATTCAATAAACAAACGAATGAGTTTTTGCTTCATATATTTAACTACAATAAATGCAAGAAGAAACTGTTTAAAAATACAAACACAAATACAAAATTCAGATTGAATTATTGGTTTAAAATAATGTCTACAAATAATGTCTACAAATTCTTGACACTCCTTTTAAAAGGTGAAGCCTAATTTGCCTCTTCTTGAATGTGGGTTGGATTTAGTGATTTGCTTCTAGTAAATTGGAAAAAAAAAAAAGCAGGAGTGACAGTGTGCAACTTCGGAGACTAAGTCATAAAAGACACTACAGTTTCCTGCCTTCTCTCTCTTTTGCATCACTCACTCTGGGGAAAGCCAGCTGCTATGTCATGAGAACACTCAGGTACCCTATGGAGAGGCCCATGTAGCTGTTCTGCCAATAACCAGTGAGGAACCAAAATGCTGTGCCTGCAGCCCTGTGAGTGAGCAATCGTGGAAATGGGTCCTTGAGCCCCAGTCAACCTTTCAGATGAATGCAGCCCTGGTCAATAGTTTGACTGCCACCTCATGAGAGACCATAAGCCAGAATCATTCAGCTAAGCTGCACTCAAATTTCTGACCCACAGAAACTGGAAGATACTAAATGTTTATAGTTTTAAGCCACTAAGTACTGGGGTAACTTGTTACGCAGCAATATATAATATACACATTTAGACAGATATATTAGAAACTAAATATGTGGAAAATTGAATATTTAATCAATGAACTTAATTTAATAGGTAGATACAGGAGGAACTTTACATCCTATAGAGAGTATAATTAATTTTTCATATGTCCAAAGAGATTTTATAAGAACCAATCATGTACTTGATTTCAAAGAAATCCTGAATAAATTCAAAATAATAAACATTTCATAGGATATATTCTCATATCATAATCCTATAGTGTTTGAAATAAATAATAAAAATATGATTTAAAGAATTC